TGTGTGTGTGTGTGTGTGTGTGTGTGTGTGTGTGTGGAGGGGGTGGGGGGGGGGCTGCTGAGTTTTGGAGTTTGATCTCCAGTTCATCTGGCAGCCATTGTATTTTGCTCAGCAAATAATTGTCCACAATTTCACTTTCTCAGCTTGTGGTCTGCATGTGGACCTCTTTTTGTCCTACCCCCCACCCCTCTCTTTCTCGCTCCTCTTTTTTTTTTCTTTCCTTTTCTTTTTTCCTCCTTTCTTTTCTTTCTCTGAAGTCCTCGTCTCAAAGGAAGATTACATGGTCCGCGGTGGTACATTCATGCAGCCACCATTTTAAATCAATACCCAGGAGAGGGTGGAAATGTGAGTGCATGCACAGCTTCAGATTGTCACCTTCTGTTTCCAGACCTGCGCCTCTCTATTCACAACAAACAGCTCTATGCAAAGATYTCCTATTTCATCACACCAGACTGGCATTGACTGCTTCTTTTTTTTTATTTTTATTATTATTATTATTATTTTTGGAAGGGGGTGTGACGTTTTGTTATTTTCAAAAAGACATATCACTTAAATATAATCRTCTCCTGTCAGCATGCTACAAGTGTGTGAGTGTGTGCGAGTGCTCGGGAGGAACATCTGTTAAGATTTGTGTACATCTATGTGTGCGACAGACACTGCGGAGTGAGCAAATCAGTATGCAAATGAAGTCAGAGTGATGACATTGTTTGTTTTGTTACTGTCACCCAAAACCTAAATTGGAGAAGAAGAAGAAGAAGAAGAAGAAGAGAGGAGGGGAAAAAAGCATCACGCAAGACACCCTTGTTTTTATGGCTTCATTTAGCCTGCTTCGGCAGAGCAGAAATGCAGATACGTCAGAGATATCCCCCCCCCCCCCCATTCTGGATCAGACCCAAGCAAGGCCAGGCAGATGTTATTTATTGTTCTTTGTCTGTCTCTTTCCTTAGGGACTGAGATGCACTCACACAGATGTACATAATAACTTTACTTGTCTTTTTTTTTATTTTTAAATAGTTGCTTGACACTGCATTCTTTTTCACTTTTAGCAGCAGTGTGGAATATTTTATTTCATTTGTAGAGCTCCTTTTTTTTAAACGTGTTGAAAAAGTGTCATCTCTAATTTTTCAGTGTATTTAAATACACGTTTTTGTGTGTTTGGTTGTCACGCGCAGACGTGTGCGAGTCCGCGTGGCTTTTCCAGTTCAGGTCGAGAGACAGTGGTCAGCGCTCTTCTTGACCAGAAAGAACACTTTGTTCTGCAGAGGGGAGAATAAACAGAGGTGCTMATGAAAGATGCGGAGAAAACGGGCATCATGTGCCGTGTTTGAGGAACTTGTATGGATAGTAAGGACGTGGCATGCATGTAGAAGAGATGAGGAAATAACGCTGTGACAGTTGGCACTCRTTTTTTTTTTTAAGTCCCCTGTGTGCTCCCCTCCAACACACACCTACTTTTCTCAGTATTGGCTGCTAGTGGGAGTCAGAGGTTATGTTTTTGGTCCCATCGAGGAAAAGGGCAACATTACAAGTCCCGTTTCAATTAAGTCTGAGAGACAGATCCGGCTACGTTATTGCTTGAGGGAATAAATGGCACAGGACGAGACCATACATCATTCGCTTATATGCAAACACTTCACCCCAGCCACTGACATTTACTCAATCCCGAGCCTTCTACATTTCTCAACTGTAGGCACATTGTAATTTTGTTTTGATGCGCCGTGGCTTTGGGTCAGCACATTGCCTCCGTCAGTGGTGAGCAGCGAGCATGGAGGATCTCGCTCCAAATCCTGCGTGACGACAGCCATACTTGCCTTGTCCTCCACAGTGTGCTTCCTGAATAATGTGAGGCTAGAAGCCCCCCCTACAAGCTGATGTGTTTTTTTTTWAAATCCAGAGCACAAACGACACTTACAGCACTGATGTGTTCATTGGCTGAGGCAGAAGTTTTTCAGGTCCGTCATTTACATATATAATTCCATTTTTCTGCACCATTTCCTATAAGTGCAGCGATTGTCCTAAAACGAACACCTTAAATATTTCATGCTCTCGAGAAAGCAGGAATTTGCCGCCTCACGAAGTGAACGCTGTGCTGCTGCTCGGCGTATACTGCGCAGGAATCCTTTAAAACTTTCAATATACGCTGTTTTATTTAGAAAAAATGTGACGAATGACGTAAAATAGTCCGTTAAACTCTCTGCTTGGACATAAACAATATTGTTTTTATAATGTTAGTAAACTTTGAGCGAAACTATCTTTTAAATTAAGGCTTTCGCAAAAAAGTCCAACAAAAAATGTATTTTTATCATAGTTTGAAGACTTTTGTTTGAGGTAAGAGAAGCTCAAACTTTTCTTAAAGAGCATGACTACTCCCCGTCATAGCTCACATAAACACACACCTTTGTATTAAAATGTAAAAGCTGCTAATAGATGAATTATTCCAGTTTGAAACAAATCACTTTTGCTCCAACTGCAGCTTGGATGTAGCTGTGAAAGTCTCTCAGTAATTAAGATGCAGAATCAGACAGTGTTTTTCTTTAGCCCTCCTCGTCTGCTACAGTTCTTATTAGCAGTTGTGTCATCTTCAGCTTATAGGGATCTGCATTAAATTCCATTCTGCTCGCAATTAATGATCTGTGGCATAACACCCATTAACGCTTTTCTAATGTGACACAAAAATATGGTTAAGAATTATCATTAAGGAAATTATGACGGAGCCATGGAAGAATCCCATTAGCACGGCTGTCAGTGCTCTTGACGTGCGGCTGAGCGTGTTGGACTGGGTGTCGCGGGAGCTGGCCGATATCTGTCCTTATTCCGTGGCATGTGTCGCTCTTGTTGTCATGGATTGTCTGCCACATGGAGACAGGCTCCGGATTCGTAGGCACTGACKGATTTCCACCACTGCTGCAAAGGAAATGATATCTGTAGGAGCGTTACCTGAAAGCTGAATGAGCATGAAAAGGAAATAAAATGCACAATAAGATTATCGATTGATATTTCAACACAGGCATAGTCTTTTAGCTTTTTATATTGTGTGTGGGAGATTACAAACATTACGCAACACGATCAACACGCTCCTCGATTGCAAATTATTTATGACACTAATCACCAGTTCAAATAATGCTCATTAAGAAAGTTATTCATGTGCAGTGTGCGTCCCCCCGCCTCCCCCCCACCTTTCCTAATTGAGGAGGGTTGACCTCTTGACCCGAGCTAAATTGAGTTGTACTCCCCGTGGCGAGCGTCTCCTTCTCCGGTCAGTCAGGGCGGATTACACAGCCATTGTGTTCGGCACTGTATCGTCCACGCTGGCTGTAACCAAGCAGATGAGTCACGCATATTCAGGAACACACTCAAGGCTTTTTTTCCCCCCCCTCTCAGTGGCTGCGAAACCTTCCTCACACACAGACACACACACACGAGCGGGACACACATGGAAAATGTGACTATTCCTTGTGTAAAAGCATAGAAAAACATGTAGAGTCTTCACACGAATTAGCGTTTACATACTCACTTTTTATCTCTTTTTTTTACACAACAAATGTGTTTGTTAAAAAATAGTTTGATGTTTATATATATATATATATATATATATACTGTATATATATAATYCAACCTTTGTTTTCCTAACCTTGTACCAAAATACAATTTACCTTTGACAAAATAAATGTCGCGTCTTGGGAGTTGATACTTTCAACACGTTGACAGTCACTCTCCGTTTGTTTTTGTGTGTGGTCAGTGTGTTAATTAGTGGCCTTTAATGCTGCGCCACTGGTTGTGGGATTATGTTTGCCTTTTTTTTTCTTTTTTTTTAAATTCTGCTTCACATTTTACAAATCAAGGGTGCTGCACTGAAACGGTCCCATGTGCGTTCAGTAACGTATCAACAAAACGTAGCAGCATGATTACAGTTTGTCGTCGCCTGAATGATACACTGTACCTTGTCAAACATTAATTAACTGATAGCGGCGACGTGTTTACAGCTGTGCGAGCTAAGTTTTTATTCAGCTGAAGTCATTACAAGGTAATCACAGGCTTAAGAACACATTAATTAAAACTCCTCAGCTAGTTATATTTGCCTAGTTCTTACTGTTAATCAAATGTCCAGCTAGTAAAAACACCGTCGTAGGAGTTTGCCCTGACTTGGCAGCTTATCCTCTGTGATTGCTCATAGCTGGCTATTAATTATCAAGCAGACAGGTACAAATGAGAAGAGCATTTGTGCTGTGATGGAAGTTGTTTACTTTAAATGGCAAAACTTTTAATAAGTTCACAGTGGTGACAAATTATTACAAACTGCCGCAATGTTTAAGTTCTTATGGCATTGTAAAACAGAATTTTCTGCCTGAACTCCCTCATCACACCAACAGTGACGGTAATCAAAACAAAAACTCCAGCTCGCACCACCAATCTCTGATAGAACCATGGGGGATTTATTAGGACCCCCTATCTGTAGCCCATTTAAATGATCCTAGATGCAAGGCGCTCAACGGTGCTGCAGAAACTCATTAAACTCTCAGGGCGTCAGTCACCGAGGCCTCCTTTAACAGGACAAGTTTTCTCTGTTGGCTGAGAGGATGCACTACCTCCAAGTCGTCCAACTATATCTGTTTCATCGCTTTTAATTGATTACGATAATTAATTTTTTTTTACCTATGGCCACTTGTTTAGCATATTTTTCCATCCAGAATTGGCGTTGTTTCTCAGGGCGATATTTTCAATCAGCCAGTATTACATGAGCTTTTTTTTTTCAAAGTCATTTTTACTGGAAAAAAGTCTCTCAGATGGGGTCCTCTAAAAGTCCATTTAGGTTGACAGCAAACCGTTCTGTGGGTTTTCCGCCTTCAGACGAAAGCGCTCGAAACGTTCCTCTTCATTTTTCACTGAGGTTTGTCACCCCCGCTTGACACCGACTTACGCTCCCCTGAGGAAAAAGGCTTCTGCCACCATAGGATCCCATCTTAATTATGCAAAGTACGGGGATATTTTGTGCGATTTTAAAAGTGCGCCAATTTCTGCTTTGGCAGTCACTGCCACACTCCCCTACTGGGAGGTCCTGTCAGACACCCCCCTCACCCCCCACCCCTACCCCGCCTCACTCTATGCCCAGGAAAATGAAAGGCTAGAAAGAAAAGACATAATGGAGAATGCATTTCAACGGCAGGGGTGGAACGCAGAGGCGTATGAAGTCCTCAGTGAGACCCTCATTTTACATGGAACAGGTGGGAGACGCTTTTGTTCTCTTCCCGCTGTTAAAATCCATTTCATTTCTTGTACTTGACATGCCGCAAGGAAGTCTCACCAGTTCCCCTCCAAAAAAAAAAAGACTCCAATGTAAAAGCTTCTACCTTTTACTAAACACAAGTCATGTTTTTCAAGACTAGTTCTGTTGTCAAAAAGTCAAAAGTGGTTTAGTTGCCACGCACCTAATGAGCAGATCTGAGTGCCGATCAAGACGTCACCGTGTTGTCACCAAGAAAACAGAAAAAATGCTGTGCTGCTGTGACACATAGAATGAAGATAGATCATAAATTTTAGTTGTTCAGAAAGGAAACTGAGCTTTAGTTGTGCTGGATGGTACGCATTTTCTTTTTCATCTTATTTATCAAACTGAAACGTGTCCTACTAATGCAGTTATCAAGGTGGTTTTTTTTTTTGTTTTTTTTACTTGGTCACTGTTGATGTTGGGAGGATGTTCCAGGGGAGACGTTCATAATTCATCACGTCATTACCCAGTCCAATATGTTATTTACGTGGGTGGCTGTTTGCCTTATTGCCAAACCTCATACATATGAAAGGCTTGTGCGGATTCCCAAACCACAGGTTGAGCTGTTGACAGCATCTGAAATCTCGTCGAGTTTCCATATAGAAAATCTCAAAAGTAAATAAGAAAAAAAAAATGCGAGAAATCTCAACTTGTTTTTTTTTTTTCCACTGTTAACTGTTTCTGTCTTTTTTCTCCCCTCCTTTCTTTTTTTCTCTCTTTTTTTTCTGGCAGTGGAAGACAATGTGACAGAGGACCAGCATAGTCCTGGGCAGACTGCCATTCCAAGCGGTAATGCTCCATTTCATATTTCATCATTTTCGGCTGGAAAGTGGATCATGTGTCTCTCTGTGTGTGTGTGTATGTCTGTAAAATCTTTGGTGGGACAAAAAAATGATGAAAAATGATGTGTTTCCTGTGTTTGAGGTTTTCATACTGTAAACTCCGTGCCTGTGTGTGTTTCCATAACAGACGGGGCGAATCAAATCAGTGCAGCTTCTTCTTTGTATGTGTGTTGGGTCTGCATGCGTGCAGGTGTGCCCATAGCCGCCCTGTGTTTCTGTGTGTTCTCCCTGTTTTTTTTTCTCTCTCTCTTCCCCCAACTCTTTGTTTCCCCAACTCTCTGTATGATGTAAAATAGAGCTACGCAGATGAATGTGTCCTGTCTCCACGCGTGCCATTCACAGTGGCCCTCCAGGAACAGAGCGGTAATTCAGGTCAGGCTAGCAGAAAGCCCCCTATGAATGAAGCCTGCTCCTGATGCACCGCACTGTATATTTTCATTTCATTTGTCTCTGGTAAAGGTTAAGTCTCAGGCGTGGTTATTTTAAACCCGATATGGATGGTTTTGCCCAGCAGGCTGGGGACCATGAGCACACCTAGGCTGCCACATTAGTCCGGCATTTACCCATAGCTTTCAGAGCGCTCCCGTGCAAAACACTGAAGCTGCGTGCACCGCTGCAACAGACCAGCAATGTCCATAATCTCTGTAAACACATGGTTTCATGTAGGAAGTGTTTAAATTTGATCAGATTTGRTCTATTTGAAGGTTGAAGTCCTTAACGTGTGTTTTTAGCCGAGCGGCACTTATTTGAAGCTACGTCGACGTGCATTGATAGGTATCAGTTGGTGCTTCCGATGCAAAATAAACTGTCGTTTTTGCCCCTCTAATCCACAAGGACTGGACGCAAGAGACTAACTTACCTCAGAGACCTCCTGTCATCCAAAGCCAAAGCAGAGCTAATGAATGTGCCTGATTACAACGACCCCCTCAGACACACAAATATCCCCCCTCCATTCATCCCTCCACCACCTCCAGCCTCCGGAGCGAGGGGGAGACAGCCGCCACATGATCGATGTCTGCCTGTGGAGAAATCAGGAGGGCGCACAAATTAATTTCTCACTTTCCTCATTTGACTTCATCTGACTGATTTATTTTTTAACCTCCTCGCAGGATGCGGCTCGACGAATGGTCAATGAGGAAAGAGAGCCGTTTGGAGTGGCAAACCGTTAAGTCGCCGTCCAAAACATTTTGCTCCTGCCAGTTTGTCGGCTGAAACTTTTACGATGCTGCCACACAGCTAACCGTACAGCTAAGCCGCTGCCCAAACATCGTCAAATTGAAACGCGCCAGAAAGGTTTACCTGACTTTCCCTCCGACACATTGACGGACAGGTGCACAATAGCTTTCAGACTTCTGACAAGTCGGGGGCTTAATCAGAAAGCGTATCAAGATCTGCCTCATAAGTGGACCCCCAGTCGTGGTCTTCTGTGGCTCTGCGAGTGTGCTGCGAGTCCTGCGTCCTGTTTCTCATTCATGTTTGATATGTAGCAGAAGCAAAGGAGAAATGCTAACAAAAGAGGCTGAACAGCAGATAGACAGTATTTTGTATAGTATAGAGGTGAAAACAGCTTGATATCAGAGTTTTAATGAGGCCATATGCTTTTTTTTTTTTTTTTACCCAGAGAGTCTAGAGCGGCTTAAGATGTGCAGCTTGGCTTTGTATTGCCTGTATGTAATTATAACCACATGCCCAGTGCTTGTTTTTCTTCTTCTTCTGTTCCATATAGATAAAATTCACTTTTCCTTGCTTTTAGCGTTGTCAGATTGTGAATGTTTTTATTTATTTATTTATTTATTTGTAATTTTGTAAGAGTGTGTCAGCTCTGCCAAAGTGGAGTGGACTGAGGCAAACCGAAGAGTTATAGAGATGTGAAGTGTTGGCTCGGTGCTGTAGTGAAGAGCAGAGTAGTGCAGCGCTGTGGTGCGGCGTCTGAAACTCTGGCTCTGGTTAGGTTGAGGCTGCCCACAGATCAATGTACTGCAGGGCTCACTACAACAGGAAGAGGAAGGGACTGTTTCACTCAACCACTTCAGAAAATCATACTCTCTATTATTCATTTCCTTTGATGTCTCCCTGCACTAATGGCATGGCAAGGCACTCTGTTCAATATTATCACTCCCAGTGAGGGGAGCTGGTAAGACAGACAGAAAGAGCATTTGCTATGTTCAAATGTTGTTTCTTATTCAGCTGCTTTGATTTCCACTCTTCTTTGTGTGCTCGTGCCTTTCTTCCACGTTCAGATTTTAATGGTGGATGATGCTGTCTGTATACCTGTGATTATATGCGCTGCTGCCATCACGCAGCGCTCTCTGGGTTGTCTCCGTTGTTTGTTCTTACTCCTCCTGTAATTGTTTGGCACCTGTACTGCCTTTTTTTTTTCTTAACTCAGCATGCATCATAAATTTTTCATAAATATACAGCATTCCTCTTTTATTATTTGTAATAAATAACAAGACACTTGAAACCTGAGCTTTCGTAAAGKGCTGAGAGCTTTTAGAGGAATGGCTTTTGACAAACACCTCTGCTTGTCTGCTTTCGCWTTTCAGATGCATCAAATTATTCAACCATAATTAGTACTTAATAGGAATCTAGAGGACTGGAGGCGGATAAACTGCACACGCCGACCTTAAGAAGCCACGCAAAAAWAMCAAAAAACAAATACACACACACACACTTCTACTTCCACTCCTCCTAACAAGTAAATTCTTGATGATCGTTAACAATCCAGCGAGTGTCAAGCTTACAGCCTCGACGTCGGATCATGATGTTCTTTAATGATCAGTGGGTGTGACAATTCAAGCGAGGAGCCCCCTAAATCCCACATCTACACAGGGGAGGATACACTCAGAGGCACGTGTGGCATTAGGATGTAGTGTGACCTATATATGTTGGGTGCTCAGCAAAAAGTTTTAGATTTTTAAATAATGAGGYGCCGGCAAGCCTGTGAAGGTTATTCAATCTTAATGTCCTCCTATTTCTGACAGCCTCCSTCACTCTGATAAAGACGTGCGCTCACCTTTGATCAGGCCCGCCGACACGTGTCGACAGAAGCTGCTCACTGGTTAAAATAAATTCTTAATTCGAACTTGGGGGTGGGTGGTTGCAGGGTGGGTTGCCAGAGAGGAGGAGGAGGGAGGGGGGGGGGCACCGTAAGATCAGGATCTCTTGAAAATGACGGAGGGAAGCGGGGAAAAAGATCGGCGCGCTGGTAATGATATTTTTGACACCAAGCGCCTTCATTGCACAAAGAAAAAAAAGCTCCATCAGGGTTTAGCCTGATTGAGCCCGACACAATGTTGTCTACAGGCAAGTAAGGACATAACCCCCAGTAATTTCAATTTTGTGCTCTGTATGTTGAGGTGGAATTAAATCAAAAATGCTCTCAATGCACACAAGAATTTTCTGAACCTCTTTTTTTTGGTGTTATGAGGTTTCTTTTTGAGTAAAGAGGTAATCTGGTCATTAAGGAGGTGATGTACTGTCAAATAGTCATCAGTAATTATTAGGGCTGTGTATCAGCAAGTATTAGGTGAAATGAGACATATCACGACAGGGATAACGGTATGATATATTGTGATATGTTGCAATACTGTAAGCAAGGTGATGTATTGCTATTTTTTCTCCAAAAAATTAAAATTTAAAAAAATATAAAGAGCACATACATTACATGTTTACWATCAGAACAACACTGAACAACAGTGAGAAAGTTTGCATTTCACCTTTCTTCTTACAACATACATCCACAAGCCCTAATTAAAAATCAATACAGTGCTTTTGAGAATCGATACATCATAAAATTAAATTTTGCAATATTTTTAGTGTGTCGATATTTTCTCACAGCTCTAGTTTATACCTTATTAGTTGTGACATCAGTCATAAAACAGAGTTAAAGGGCCAATGTTATGTGTTTCTCAGGCATACATTTAAATACTATACCATAATAAACTACCTATGTCACCTTTAGTTGTTATTAAAATGCTGTTTTTATGTTTCAATAGAAAATAAACTTATCTTCTCATCACTTCCTCTTCTAAGCGCATTGAAATTGACCTCTGTCTCTTTAAGAACCATCTTCCACTTCTGTCCCACCCATTTCGGTGCGGGGCGGGGG